TTAGTGGTTGACTGATTATAGATGTTTTATAATTGGTTGATGAGAAGTTGTTTTAATGTTGTTCGATTACTGTAATGGTGATTTATTGTTGCCGTGGCTTTTATTGGCTTGTATATTTGTTATAAAAATTAAATTGTTAATCTTTTACTGCTAAAATAAAGTTGTTTTCATTTTTTCTGCTTTATAGATGTTACTAGTACAATACCCGTGTACTATACGGGTACTTAAATATATTAATATTTGTACAATAAAAGCGAAAATAATTTATATGATTTTTGTGAAATTATGTATGATAAATTTGTAACAATAATGAATAACTAAAAAAATGATAATTAATTCAGTGGTGCTATTTTTACACTAAATTTGTCAAAAAATATATTTTTTAATAAAATAATATATGTATAAAGCTGATATTATTTACAACTCCATATATTTGATTTATTTTTTTTAAACAAAACAAATTTTATTGTGTTGTGATTATATTTTATATTTATAGAGTCAGTGTCTCACGTCTACTAATTTTTCAAGTATTTTAAATTCATATAATTTATAATTTAGAATTTACGTATAAATATATAATTTTTTAACTTTATGAAATGCAAAATTATTTTATTATATTTAATTATGATATTATTTATGTTTACTACTTTAAATAACATAAGTTTTTTATAATCTATTTAAATTGAGAAATAATATTTTTAAAATTTATTTTGTGTAATACTTAATTTTTGTTTTTCAAAATTTATGAAAAAAATAAAATGATTATTTTATCGGGTATTAATGAATTATATTTTTATTATTTTTATAAAATAATTTATATTGCTATTTGATTTATTTTAAATTGAGTTGATAATAAAATTAATTTTATTTATAAATATGGATGAAATTATTATTTATTCTATATATGCAATATGGATGTCAAATAAAAGATCGTTAAAATATGATTATTTTGGTAGATCATTTTCAAAAAATAAAATAAAAAATAAAAAGTTATAAAATTTTATAAATTAAAAGCCTACATATTTATAATAACTAATATAATATATGAATTAAATAAAAAAAGGTAAGAGTAGTATATGGTAATTTAAGAAAAAAAGGAAACTAAAATAGTTTATGATAATTTTCAAGATTAATAGTCAAAACCAAACCTGAACATATGTTAATACGAAGCACCAATTTATGCCAAATACACTTATGAAGCACACGAGTCTACCACTTAAGTACAGCGCATACGAAAATTATATATAGTGACGATATTATTGTTTTGTTGTTACAACTTTCAAAATCTTATTTTTTATTTTCTTAAAAATATATTTACAATTTTTTAAGTTACAATAACAAATTTTTGTGTTGCTTTTTAGCTAATTTAATTGTTATTTATGCATAAAACAAATTGATATATCTTTCCGTTTTTATAACTTGTTATAATCTAACAACTAAACCAAACAAGCTTCCACTAAAAATTTTAAACGAACAAATGACCATCATCTTAAACGCAAACACTGATTCCAAAATTTATTGATGTTATTATAAGAAAAAAAAAATCACCAAAACACCAACAACAAAATCCCGCTCACAAACATCTCATCCTTTTACAACTCAACTAGTACGCCACCCGCGCGTTGCGCGGCCTGATGTTAAAAAATGATGTGAATTAATTAAAATTAAAATAAATACAAACTATTCATAAAATATTTATAGAGAACATAAAAGTATGATGAAAAATCTATTCCTTATATTTTAAAATGTTTCTCTAAATATAACATTTTTAGTGGATGATTTGTATTAATTATAACCATTATCATCCTAAATAATAATCATGAGACATCAGGAATCATGACTATAGAAACAACAATATATAATTGATTATAATTATAAAATACCATGTTTTTTTTTATTAATATTTTCAAATTAAAAAAATTGAAGTTAAAAAAAACATTTGTGATATTCGACGAAAATTGGTATTTGTCACATTAATAACACTCCTTGAAGGAAAAAATGTCTTGTTAATAATATAATTTTCTTCATTTGTGATTAACTAAAGATATTATTATTATTATACAGATAAGCTGATATAGAGTAACTGAAATAAACATATACAAGTATGAGCCAATCAAAATTAAAACATATAAATTAAATACCAAAGAAAAAATAAAAAAAAAAATGACTCAATTTTTAACTGCATGCATTTAGTTTCAAATTAGGTCCATATGTCTTTCACTTTTTTTAATTGGCAAAATATTCAATTTCATTTATGTGCAAAATAAATCCGATTGTGACGTGCAAGATGGATCACCTTTTGTAAAGTTACAAATATGCACAATAATTTTTTGCACGTACAAGATGGATCACCTTAATGTTCATGTCAATAACAAATTACTTATTTTTTATTTTCACGTAATTCATGCGGAATGTAATTCAATATAATTTAGAAATGACATAGATAGAGTTTTTGTAAAATGATAATAAAAAACATTTAAATTATATTATTAAATTATAAAAGAATAAAATTTATTTTGGTAAAACTAACATTTATGATATATGATAAACAAAGTAGTTGATGCATTATTGTACATAGTATTGAACTTTATCCATTGCAAAGATTCAGTAGCGATAATATATTTTGTCATTATCTTAAGAAAAAATATCATGTGTTATAATAACAAAAAATTAACAATAATTAACACATTATGCTATTTTTATCCATAAAAAATTATAGTTGCATAATTGTGGATCAATGAAGAGATTAAAATTTAGGCAGTCACTTTAGTCAGAAACTTTTAGCTCAAATTTAAGTATAAATGAAACAAATGATATCAACTAAAAATAAAATAAATTATACAAATTATGTATTTTGGGCTCAAACTATTCAACCATTTAGGACCAAAACCACTATAAAAGGCCTCATATATAACAAACATTCCATTAAATAATTCAATTATAAATATATATTGTTTTATTCAGTCTTTACAGTCATAATCATATTGTCATTCTTTATATCCTTTATGGATGAGACACCCTCACTATTTATGTTATTATTATTTTTTTTTTCACTATATCATTCTATAATATTAGTCTATTTTTTGCTCATAAATGAAACCAAATTCAAATGTCATATTCAAACACTAAATCATCTATTTTTTTCTTTACACAAACTGTGACAATAAATATCCATCTAAAAGTGGAAAAATAAAAGTATAAATGTCTATATATATCAAAATAGTATTGTACTATATACTTTCATATGTTTATTTTTAGATCATGCTAGGGTAACAATCAAGATGTTCACCGTCAATGCTTAGATCAATAACCAACACTTATATTGCAATAAATTTATGAGAATCATAATTTAACTTATTTTGTTGGATATACACATTGACAGAGTTCTTGTAAAATAATAAGCATAAAATATTTTTTTATAATATATAGCACTAAAACAATAAGAGTATAACTAACACTTGTAAAATGATAGGAAAAATATTATGCACATATGTCTAGATGGCCTCTTCTATGTTTTGACAAAAATAAAATAAAGTATACCAACTAAAAATAGAAAAAAAAAAAAATGAATTTTTGTGGGTCAAACAATATCTTCAATCAAACCAAACCCAATATGAATTTTCTCTTCACTTTCACAATTAAAGACATGAGTTGGCCTCTCTGAATCTTGTAACCTTCTCAATTGGAATGTTATCATTATTATTTTTCTAATATCTATTCTAAAATATTTATATATTTTTTTTCCATAAATAAAATAAAATTTTGATGCTATGTTCAATTCTAAGTTGTTCTTTTTTTCTTTTGTTATATTTATTTTTTCATATTCATGGTTGATATTGGAAAAATAAACCTAAATTCATATAAACTGTTTTGTCGAAGTAAAAAGGTTATTCACTATTCTCGTGATACATTTCATATGAATATGCATGTTAGTACCCAGTACCCGTAGATGATACTTTTTTATTTTATTTTCTAAAAATTTCTCGCTTTAAGTTGAATAAATTACACTATTTATAAGAAATATAACTTTATATTAAATCTATCTTTGTTCTTATTTATTTATTTATCTATTTAAATATATTAGAAAGTAAAATAAAAAATATATATATGAAATTTGGTTAAGTAAGTTTGCAATTTGTTATAAACCAGATTAATGAATCCTTGTATCGAAATTTACATATCTGAAAAATATCACCAATAATAAGCATTGCTATTTTTATCAAGTGGTAAACCGTTGGAACTCTTTTTATATTAAATAGTTGATCACCTTAAAGTATAGTTTATCAATATTATTTGCACTCCGTATGTATGATTATGAAAATATGGTAGTATATATATTTAAAATGTTATACATAAACTAATATATACTAATAATTGTGTTACTTTTTTAATTAAGTTTTCGTGCAAATAATTACTTTTTGTTATTTAAATTATCCACAAAAGATTTAACAAATTTTAAAGCCATGAATATTGGTAGTGGAGATAAATATTACCAGTGGAATGTTATATTCCATGAAAATAAGAATAAATATATACCTTTATTATTTCATAATAAGAACAAATTTATATTACACTGTTTCATTTATAACTTTGGTTTTCACAATTGTATTTTGAAGTAACTTTATTTAAAAATTAAGTTACTTATATTGAGTTCCATATGTTAAAACATATAATATGTAATCAGTTGTGGCATTAGAAAAATATATAATGGATTAAATTAAGTTACACATGTTTTTATATTTTTTAAGATAATATTCATCATTTTATTATTTTGTATGATATAATTTTTCAATTAAAAAATTTGAAAAAATTCTGAAAATTGAAAAAGTTTTGAAAATCAAATTCAATATTTCCAAATATATTGAATTTTATTTATATTATTGAAGGAAATGTGAATCACCCTCACGATTTCTTATAATAGAGATAAATTTAAAGTTTAAATATTATAAAGTAATTTGGTTATTATTGTGGCACTGATAAATAACTAATGAGTTATAAAATATGAATACACTTTTTTTCCAATTTGCTCATGATCTTCATGATCCATATTANGTTTTTGCCAACTCATAATGTCCTATGTATTTATATTTGTTCGAATTCAAATAAAGAAATGAACGGTCGAGAAAATAAATATGATCATTTGGTTGACAAATAAACAACTTGGGTCTAATGTAGAATGAATGTTTTTAATCACTTTGTTAATTTGTATTTTTGGTGATAAATTTTAAGGGAGGATTGTCATTATTATTACCAATGCATTAAACCCAAGAGTTTCCTCACAATAATGGACTTTATTTATTATATGTAAATGCAAGCAAGTGAATAGTCATTTTAAAATTAGATAAAAGAGTTTCATCACAATAATGGACTTTATTTATTATTTGTAATGCAAGCAAGTGAATTGTCATTTTGAAATTAGATAAAAGCTGTGGTTGATTTGAGATACGAAGACCATAAAGATGGGGGCACAACTAATGAATAAGCTAAAGGCTAGTTAGTCAGTAAGCCCAATAGAAAATTACACCGTTCTTCACATTTATGAAGTATTAAAGACAATTTAATTATAACGATTAATACATATCTTAGCCAACAATTAATACATATCTTAGGCGGGAAAAGCAGCTCCTAAACCAGCTGCTCTGGTTTAATATATATATATATATATATTCAATCCAAAAGATGTACAATTCGTAATATTTTAATCCTAATTCATCCAGAAAACCACATCATCGAGAACCAAAAATTGAACCCATCCAGCCTCGTCGTAACTCATTGGACTGCAGTTGCGCGGCCGTGTCTAGTAAAACACGAGATGCGGCCGACAGTCGTGAAGCCGTCGCTCACCCGTGGCTGTGGTCGACCAAATTGGGTCAATGGCAGAGCCCGATGGCAGCCTCCGGGTCTCCAACAGCCGCCAAGTTGCTCCGCCGCTCGTATCTCTGCGACAGACGTTGTTGGCCGTCGAGGTTGGCGGCGAGCCACCTCCCATTCGAGATCGAATACACTCGGAGAAAACCCTCAGAAGCCATGAGTGTGTGTGCGCGCGCGAGGGAGGAAAAACGAGATTTAATCGAGTGACTGTCAATTTAGGAGGAAAAATTAAGGATTTGAGTATTTTATGTGTGTGAAAGTGTAAATTAGGGGCGGATCCACCGCCCCACTTTCTCTAATAATAAAAATATAAAAAAAATAAAAATTGGATAAGAGATCCAAGATCCACCGCCCACTTTCTCTTAATAATTAAAATGCAATTTGTGAGAAGGTGCATACGAAGGTGGCCAATTCTCTCCATATAAATAGGCTACTCGGCAGAGGAGAAAGATGCACAGAAGCAAAGAAGAGAAAGATAGAGAGAAAGAAAGAATAGAAAAATATAAAAAAAAATATTTATTTGTTATCAAAATAACAAAAGAGTGATATTTTTATTCCTATTTTTAAGTGCTCAATTCTCGACTCCGTTCTAGTTCGCCAGAGCTCGTAAATTTGGTGTGCTACAGATTTAGAGACGTCTGCCATTGTATCTTTGGGGAAGTTACGCCTGAACCCTTAGCTGCCACACGGGGCGTATTCTTCTTGCGGAAAGAGTTTTTCTCGCCTCGGCTAAAATCTTTCAGTTTTTTTTTAAGTTTTAATTTATTTTTCAGTTGTAATTTATTTTTTCAGTACGATTGTAATTTTCTATTTTTTAGATTATTTGTAAGAACTGAAAAATACATATCAGTTCGTAGGATTCCCGTGTATTTTGACACCCAAGTTCCAACAATCGCAAGAAGAATATCTCAACCTACTGGACTAATGGCTTTCACCAGAAATGGTTCCAACACTCAGCATCCGATCAATCATGTACCTGTTGTCCATGTCCCCACTGCTGAGAAGCCCGAAAAATTCAATAGGCTTGATTTTAAAAGGTGGCAACAAAAGATGCATTTTTACCAGACCACTTTGGGTTTGGTGAAATACCTGAAGGACGACCTCCCGGTTATTGCTGCAAATGAGACCAATGCTGAACTACGCACTGCGTACGAAGCTTGGGGGAAAGGTGATTACCTTTGCCGTAACTATGTCCTGAACGGACTTAGTAATGAGTTGTACAATGTGTACAACTCGGTTGGTTCTGCCAAAGAGCTTTGGGCTGCTTTGGAGAAGAAGTACAAGACTGAGGATGCCGGGGCGAAGAAATTCGTCGTCGGCAAATTTCTTGACTTCAAAATGGTTGACACTAAGACCGTTGTGTCACAAGTGCAAGAGTTCCAACTCATAAGAGGAAGGAATGTCTCTAAGCGAGTCATTCCAAGTTGCGACTGTGATTGAAAAGCTGTCGCCGGGTTGGAAAGACTTCAAGAACTACCTCAAACATAAGAGGAAGGATAAGAGTCTTGAAGACCTGGTTGTTCGTCTTCGTATTGAGGAGGACAACCGTGATTCATCGGCGAAGACTCCGATGATAGAGGCTCGTGCTAACTTGCTGGAGCAAGGCCACTCGAGCAAGAGGAAGTCCCTTGACAAAGGGAAGTAGCCTGCCAAGGTTTGGAAATTTACTGGAACCTGCTACAACTGTGGAAAGTCAAACCATATGGCAAAAGACTGCAAGAGGCCAAAGAAGGTTGGGCCAAAGAAAGGGCAACCCAGTGCCCTTGTGGCTGAACACGGCCCTGTGCCGGGTGAACTGACCGACTTTGATATGTCGACAGTGGTGTTTGAAGCCAATATGGTGGATAACCCAAGAGAGTGGTACAACGATACTGGTGCCACTCGTCATGTGTGTTCTAATAAGGAGGTGTTCTATGAATACACTCCTGCTAAGAGTCGGAAACTTTACATGGCAAACTCAGCCACGGCTGATGTGGCTGGAGTGGGCACTGTGGTGTTGAAGCTGACTTCTGGAAAGGAGTTGAAGCTTAAGGATGTTATGCATGTCCCAAACATCCGCAAGAATTTGGTCTCCGGATCTCTTCTTGTTGAGCATGGATTTAGGCTGGTATTTGATGCTAACAAATTTGTTCTTAGCAAGTTTGGAAATATCCTTGGTCGTGGCTATCTTGACAAGGGTATGTTCAAAATGAATGTAATGGCCGTGAGTCGTGTAACCATTTTAAATGATAATGAAAAGTCTATTTCTGTTTATACCGTTGAGTACTCTGATTTATGGCATATTAGATTGGGACATGTAAATCTAAATGCAATTAAACGGTTGATGAATTTAGAATTAATTCCTAATTCTAAAATTGAATCACATAAGAAATGTGAGATTTGTATTGAAGCAAAAATGGCTAAGTTGCCTTTTCACTCGGTGGAAAGGAGTACTGAACCATTAGGCTTAATCCATACTGATGTATGTGATATGAAAATTGTGCAAACAAGAACGGGTAAAAAGTATTTTATTACTTTTATCGATGATTGCACAAGGTTTTGCTACTTATATTTATTAAGAAGCAAAGACGAAGCTGTGGAAGCATTTAAAATCTATAAGACCGAAGTTGAAAATCAACTCGGCAAAAGGATTAAAATAATCCAAAGTGATAGGGGTGGGGAGTATGTATCTCCTTTTGAACAAATATGTTCTGAATATGGCATAATTCAAACGACGACCCCTTATTCTCCACAGTCAAACGGTGTTGTTGAACGCAAGAACCGTACGTTAAAAGAAATGATGAATGCCATGTTGATAAATTCAGGATTACCCCAAAACATGTGGGGGGAAGCTGTTTTAACAGCAAATCATATTCTGAATAAAATACCACCTAAAGGGAAAATGGAGACTCCTTACGAAATGTGGAAAAATCGTAAGCCGTCTTATAAATACCTGAAAGTGTGGGGGTGTTTGGCTAAGGTTTCAGTTCCTGAACCCAAAAAAATGAGAATCGGACCAAAGACGGTCGATTGTGTGTTTATTGGATATGCGTACAATAGTACAACATATAGATTTCTGGTTCATAAATCAGAAAATCCGGAGGTATCTGCTGGTACCACGATTGAGTTGAGAAATGCTATATTCTTTGAGAATATATTTCCTCTGAAGGAAAGGGCAGAAACTAGTTCTAATAAATGAACATATGAAACTGCTAATGGTTATGTACCAGAGGGTACTGATGAAGAACCGAGACGTAGTAAAAGGGTAAAAACGGCGAAAACGTTTGGACCTGATTTTATTACGTACATGTTAGACGATGGACCGAGTTCCCTTAAGGAAGCTCTGTCCAGCCCAGATGGACCACTCTGGGAAGAAGCTGTAAATAGCGAACTCGAGTCCATTATGCAAAATCATACTTGGGAGTTGGTTGATCTCCCTGATGGTTGTAAACCTTTAGGATGCAAGTGGATCCTAAAGAAGAAATATAAAGCTGATGGATCGATTGATAAGTTTAAAGCAAGATTGGTGGTCAAAGGCTTAAAACAAAAGGAAGGGTATGATTTCTTTGATACCTAATCACCAGTTACGCGTTTAGCGTCGATAAGAGTGCTTCTCTCGATTGCTGCTTTGCACAATCTTGAGATTCACCAAATGGATGTCAAGATGGCATTTTTGAATGGTGAATTGGAAGAAGAAATATACATGGAACAACCTGAAGGGTTTGTTGCACCTGGACATGAGAGAAAGATGTGTAGATTGATTAAATCCTTGTACGGACTTAAACAAGCTCCGAAACAATGGCATTTGAAATTTGATGACGTGATGGTGTCAAATGATTTCAAAATCAATGAATGTGACAAATGTGTTTATGTCAAGAGTACATCAAATAAATTTGTGATTGTATGTCTATATGTAGACGATATGTTGATCATGGGGAGTAGCCATGAAGTGATCATGGATACAAAAAGAATGTTGAAAAGAAACTTCGACATGAAAGATATGGGTTTGGCTGATGTTATTCTTGGAATAAGGATTATCAGAACCCAAGATGGAATTGTCTTGTCACAATCTCATTATGTAGAGAAAGTGCTCAAGAAATTTGATACCTATGACGGTGCACAGTCTAGGTGTAAGACACCCCTTGATCTTAGTACAAATCTGGTGGCTAATAAAGGTCAACCAGTGGCTCAGTTGGAATATTCACGGATAATAGGGAGTCTGAAGTACTTGACGAATTGTACACGACCAGACTTGGCTTATCCGGTGAATAAGTTGAGCAGATTTACGAGCAATCCCAGTCATGAGCACTGGAATGCTTTGAGAAGGGTACTTAAGTACTTGAGGTACACCCTTGAATACGGGCTAAAACACTCGAGATACCCAGCCGTACTTGAAGGGTACTGTGATGCAAGCTGGTTATCAGAATCGAGAGACTCTCGCTCCACTAGCGGATATGTATTCTGTATTCGAGGAGGTGCAGTTTCGTGGAAATCCACAAAACAAACGTGTATAACTCGTTCAACGATGGAATCGAAGTTCATCGTTTTAGATAAAGCTGGTGAAGAAGCCGAGTGGCTTAGAAATTTTTTATCCGATATTCCATGTTGGAATAAGACTTTGCCGCCTGTGATGATTCATTGTGATAGCCAAGCTGCTATAGGTAGGGCACAAAGCAACTTGTATAATGGTAAGTCAAGACATATTCGTCGTAGACATAATACCATACGCTAATTGATCACAAATGGTATTATTTCCATTAACTATGTGAAGTCTAAGGAAAATTTGGCTGATCCTTTGACGAAAGGATTGAATAGAGATCAATTGGTAGTTTTGCTAGAGGGAATGGGCTTAAAAATCCACAATGTAAAGAATGATCATAGTGATAACCCTACCATGCTAAGTGGAGATCCCATGAACTTGGTTCAAAGGGAAAACTAAGCTATGAAAATTCAGTTGAGCACTTGAAACATATGAATGTTCAAAGTTATTCCCTAGAGCACTCCAAGTGCAAGATGACCTGTTGATTGTGGTGAGGGTAAGTCAAGTGGACTTTTAATGAATCCCTAACCTTGTAAAGGTGGAGTAATACAGGATACTCTTGATAGGGAGGTCACCTATATAAGTGCGAAGTGTGGGCCGCTTCAAATGTAAACACTTATGAATCCAAAGTGATGTCCATGGCCAAAACGGACACAACGAAAGAACGGAATAGAGTTAAGACTCTATT